AGGCTGGTTTCAAACTCCTGACCTTGAGCGATCTGCCCGCCTTGGCCTCCCAGAGTGCTAGGTCAAATCTAGCTTTTTAATTTCTACATTGATAAATGCTGTTTTCAATTTGATTCTTGAATGTCATCTAATCTGTGCTCACCAAAAAAGGGAGATTTAAAAAAAGAATGAATGCATTAAAAAAATTCCTATCTATAATTTTAATTCCTCAGAGTAACAATTCATAAAGTAACCAGTATTATTTTCTAAAAAAAATCACGTAGAATAAAATTATACTTACAAATAACAGAACAATCTTTGAATAGCATTTTTAAGTAAATTAGTAAAATAATGGAAGCTCATAAATCTGTCCTTGCAACATTCATCAGATTACTGGTATATTAAAATTTGTTCTGGTCAAGGCATTATATGGCAGGCACTCAAATTGAAAATCTTAGAATTTACGAGAGCTAAACACAAGTTATATACATAAATAAATTTTAAAAATACATAATCTTTGTACAAAAAGGACTAATAGTTTTTAAAGTGTGTTTGTAAATGTGAATCACCACATAAACAGAAGCAAAAACAAAAATATGATCATCTCCATAGATGCAGAAAAAAAATTCAAGAGAATTTAGTACTCTCTTATGATAAAAACCCTTAACAAACTAGGCATAGAAGGAACATATCTAAAAATTACAAAAGCCATATATGACAAACCCACAGCCAACATCATACCGAATGGGGAAAAGCTGAAAACATTCCCACTAACAACTGGAACGAGACAAGGATGCCCACTGCTGCTTCTATTCAATGAAGTATTTGAAGTCCTAGCCAGAGCAATCAGGCAAGAGAAAGAAATTAAGGGCATCCAAATTGGAGGAGGTCAAACTCTTGCCTTTTGCTGATAATATGATCTTACATCTAGAAAACCCCAAATATTCCAAGAGACTTCTGGAATTGATGAACAGAGACATAGACCAATGGAACAGAACAGAAAACCAACTCATCTTTGACAAAGCAGACAATATATACTGGGGAAAAGAATCCCTATTCAATAAATGGTGCTGGAAAAATTGGATAGCCAGCCACATATAGAAGAAAGAGGATCCATATCTCTTACCACTCACAAAAATTAATTCAAGATTGACAAATGACTTAAATGTAAGGCATGAAACTATAATAATATAATATAATAAAAGAAAATGTTAGAAAAACTCTTTGAGATATTGGCCTAGGTAAAGAATTTATGACAAAGACCCCAATGGCAATCACGGCAACATCAAAAATAAATAAATGGACTTGATTAATGAAAAAGCTTCTGCATAGCCAAGGAAATAATCAGAGCAAACAGACAACCTACAGAATGAGAGAAAATATTTGCAAGCTATACATCTGATAAAGGGCTAATAATCAGAATCTACAAAGAACTCAAGCAAATCAGCAAGAAAAAAATCAAACAACCCCACAAAAAGTGGGCAAAAGACATAAACAGAAGCTTTTCAAAAGAAGATAGACCAATGGCCAAAAAACATTATGAAAAAATGCTCAACGTTACTAATCATCAGAGAAATGCAAATTAAAACCATGATGAGATATCACCTTACCCCAATTAGAATGGCTTTTATTAAAAATTCCAAAAAGAGGCCGGGCACGGTGGCTCACACCTGCAATCCCAGTACATTGAGGGGCCGAGGCAGGTGGATCGCTTAATGTCAGGAGTTCGAAACCAGCCTAAGAGTGAGAGCCTGTCTCTACTATAAATAGAAAGAAATTAATTTGCCAACTAAAAATATATAGAAAAAATTAGCCGAGCATGGTGGCACATGCCTGTATTTCCTAGCTACTCAAGAAGCTGAGGCAGAAGGATCGATTGAGCCCTGGAGTTAGAAGTTGCTGTGAGCAAGGCTGATGCCACAGCACTTTAGCCCAGGCAACAGAATGAGACTCTGTCCAAAAAAAAAAAAAAATCCAAAAATAATAGATGCTGGCATGGATGTAGAGAGAAAGGAATTATACACTGCTGGTGAGATTGCAAATTAGTATAACCTCTATAGAAAACAGTATGGAGATACCTCAAAGAACTAAAAGTAGATGTACCATTTGATCTAGCAATCCCACTACTAGGTATTTACCCAAATGAAAAGAAGTCATTTCATTAAAAAGACACCTGCACGCAAATGTTTACTGCAGCACAATTCACAACTGCAAAGATGTGGAATCAACCCAAGTGCCCATTCATGGGTGGATTAACAAAATGTGGTATATGTATACCATGGAAACTACTCAGCCACAAAGGATGACTTAAGGCCTTTTGAAACAATTTGGATGGAACTGGAGACCATTATCCTAAGGGAAGTATCTAAAGAATGGAAAACAAACATCATACGTACTCATTATTAAATTGGAACTACCAATATGCACAGAGGGAAGTAAAACTCAATGGCAATCAAGAGGGGGGGGCAGGGGGAGGGGATAGGCGAAAACCTACCTAACAGGTACAGTGAACACTATCTGGGTGATGAGCACACTTATAACCATGACTCAAGCATTATAAAAGTGATCCATGTAACCAAAAATATTTGTACCCCTGTAATACTATGAAATAAAAAAAGTAAATACATAAAGTGTGCCTGTAAGTCAATAAAAAACTAAGTCCCAAAATAATATGCAGATAATGGTTTTATGCATAAAATATAATCCAAGCATTCTTTTTTTGTGTGTTTTTTTTTTTGAGACAGAGTCTTGCTTTATTGCCCAGGCTAGAGTGAGTGCTATGGCGTCAGCCTCAGCTCACAGCAACCTTAAACTTCTGAGCTTAAGCGATCCTCCTGCCTCAGCCTCCCGAGTAGCTGGGACTACAGGCATGCACCACCATGCCCGGCTAATTTTTTCTATATATATTAGTTGGCCAATTAATTTCTTTCTATTTATAGTAGAGACGGGGTCTCGCTCTTGCTCAGGCTGGTTTTAAACTCCTGACCTCAAGCAATCCGCCCGCCTCGGCCACCCAGAGTGCTAGGATTACAGGCGTGAGCCACCGTGCCTGGCCCCAAGCATTCTTTTTAGTGACAAAAATACAAACACCAAAACAGGTAGAGAGGTACCCTTCTATCACTGAACATGGGATATTATATAGTCGTCTACTATTTTCAAACAGTAGGTAATATGGAAAAACATGTATTACATGGTAAGTAAAAATATAAAAACAAAAAATATATAAAACTGTACCCAGAGGGGAAAGATAAGGACTTTTTTTTTTTTGAGACAGAGTCTCGCTTTCTTGCCTAGGCTAGAGTGAGTGCCGTGGCATCAGCCTAGCTCATAGCAACCTCAAACTCCTGGGCTTAAGCAATCCTACTGCCTCAGCCTCCCGAGTCGCTGGGACTACAGGCACGAGCCACCATGCCCAGCTAATTTTTTATATATATATGTATTAGTTGGCCAATTAATTTCTTTCTATTTTTATAGTAGAGACGGGGTCTCGCTCAGGCTGGTTTTGAACTCCTGACCTTGAGCAATCCGCCCGCCTAGGCCTCCCAGAGTGCTAGGATTACAAGCGTGAGCCACCGCACCCGGCCAAGATAAGAACATTAAAGCAATCACTAAAAACAAAAAAAATACACTAAGACATTAGCAATATCTATGCTTGGGTAATTATATTGAGAGTGATTCATACCTGCCCAACCCCCACTTTCTACATTTCCCCAATATTCTTTCAGGAACACATGGTTCTGGTATTCAGTTTTAATTCAGGTGAGCTTTCTCAGGGACTGACAGTATGGGTGTCTGTTTATAAGAATGGCCACAGTCCTAAAACACTTTATGTAAAGTATGCTTCTTTGCCACGGAGAAAAATGTTAAATAACACTCATAGAGAAGCTGACTGAATTTTCATTAGCAATAGAATGCATGGCGGTAAGGAGTCTAGACACTGTCCAATATGGTGGCCACCTGCTACATGTGGCTCTTGAGCACCTGAAATATGGCTAGTGGAACTAAATTTTTATATTTTGTTTAATCTTAATTAATTTAAATAGCAACCTGCAACAGAGATATAGAACATTTCCACCACTGCAGTAAGTTCTACTGGACAGTGCTGACCTTGACTATGGTACTAGAGAGGTGGTCTGAACCCCAGCACTGTCATGGACTGTTTATGAACCTAGGGCAAGTTACTTTACCTCTTTGTTACTCAGTTTCTGTGTAAACTGGGAAATAAACATCTCTGGTGAAGGACTGTTTAAGGTTATGATAAAATGAAGTGATATATTACATGCAGGTGAGAGTACAGCAAACTCCTTCACATGTCCCACACAATCAATAGATGCTAGCCACCCACCACCCCTTCTCCACTGGCACTGAGATTTTCACAGTCTTCAAAGACAAGCTGTTACTAGTGTCCAGAGCTCTGTGCTACATGCAGCCAGCTGTTCCGTTCTGTTCATGGACACAACCAACTCTCCTCCTTGTGACAATGTCCCTGATAACGCTTGATAAGATAGATGACATATGAAATATGTGGCTAGAGGAACCAAAATTCATTCTTACTAATAAAAACTGTGGCCCCATTTTTATGTAGCAAAGTGAGACCCTATTACTGAAAGGTCTTATTTCATAAATTCTAAGGATAAAATATTCAACAAACTGAAATCTCCAAATTGTATTTAGAAAATTGATTTCACATTAATATGGTGAACACACACAAAGTAAAATCAATTTATGCATTTCCCATTTCGATTAGCAGAAAAATCATATTTAACCACTATCTATCTAGGCAGCTTGAGGTAAGAAATAAAGTTTTTATCCTATGAGTGTAACAGAACATCTATTGGCACACATGTTTTTTCCCTTAACAACCTGGTTGCTCCACAACAGAAATCACTAAAAAATATTCAGCCTAATAATTAAATTTAATTGTTACTAGTACTAATATTATGAATCCAGCATAGTCCTTTAAAAGGATCAATGCTATTTATATGTGGCAAATAAACTAGAGCAAGCAACAGACGTCTTACCTTTTGATTGATGTAACAGAATACACAAGTATATAACCGTTAATATCTATGGAGTATGTCTGAGGAAAGATGGAATATTCATCCTGTGGGGAGAAAAATTACATTTAAGTCTTCATATAGCATAACAGCAATCTTTACCCAAGTTTTTCATGTACTACCTGAAGAAAATCAAAGGAAATCAAAGAAAACAAACTGGATTACAATATTATTCCACAAACACAGTCTACACACAAAAGATTTAAGAATGGTTTAGAGGTGATAATGTGCTTCAAACCAATATTAAAAAATGACTCTGGCTATTCTAGGACTTAGGGGGAGGCTGACGACTTCTGTCATTCCTGGGAGAAGAGGTTAGAAGGAATGCAAAGATTGCTTCTGGTGATCTCTTATCAAGGGACAAGCACTACCACATTTCTTCTATGGTTGAAAAGTCTAAAATCTCTTAGACCTCATAGGAATTTACAAATCCTACTAGCTTATTCCATAAATCTTTGCTTTCATATTTGAAACTGTCACATTATTATGTAATCTAGTCTTTGCATGTCAGTCCCATTGGTGTGAGCATCAATCTACTGGTTGTTTGTTACAGAGGACTGCCACCGGTACTTGAGACAGAAGAGGAGAGAAGAGAATCAAAGCACTAGACTCAATCAGTATACTCAGACTTTGGGGACTAAAAAAGTTATTTACTGAGCAACTGTAGAGTAATTAAAAACAGAGGTACACATTATACAACTGTGTATTAGTCCCTAGCTTTATAAAGCAGCTCTATTAAACTTTGTTTTAGATACACAAATTATTAAAGCATACAAAAAGTTCTTAGATCAATGCCGTTTTCATCAGCACGTGTTACTGGTACAAACTTTTTTTTTTTTTGAGACAGGGTCTCACTATGTTGGCTGGGCTAGAGTAAAGTGTCGTCATCATAGATAATTGCAACCTTAAACTCCTGGGCTCAAGCAAGCCTCCCACCTCAGCCTCACAAGTAGCTGGGACTACGGGCTGCACCACCATACTCGGGTAATTCTTTAATTTTTTTGTAGAGCCTGGGTCTCACTATGTTGCCCAGGCTGGTCTTTAACTCCTGACCTCAAGAGATATTTCCACCTTAGCCTCTCAAAGCACTAGGGTTGTAGACACAAGCCACTGCACCTAGTCTACAAATATTTTATTCTTAGCTGAAATGTAACTGTCAACATACCTCATGTCCTAAGCACTATTAAAGAAAAAAATCATGCCACCATTAGATTAAGGAGCAGTCTGTTAACCTTGGAAACTCACAGTATGGTTATAACAACTGTTTGTGATAGCCCACAATTACTGCTCTATGGTTCTTTAGGTCCAAAGTTCAAATTACCTTTTCGTTAAAGGGAAAATGTGACAATCAAAGAGTAATCATGTTTAAGAAGCATTAAAAACAACCAGTTGGAAGGATGGGAAAGACCCACAGCTGCAACAGCAACCAAAAAAGGGGATAAAATTCCTAAAAATAAATGTAAGAAACAAATGAAAGTATATGCTCATATGAAGAAAATCTTAAAACACTCCCAACAGACAAAAGACTTAAATATGCAGGATCATCTGGGTATCTATTAATACTAAATTAATATACAAACACAATATAATTCTGATTTTAAAAACTCTACTTTCTGAGAAAGAATAGTAATTGTTAGGGCAGGTGACTGGAAACCATAAAGCTACAGTAATTAAAATAATGCTGTATTGGCTCATGAATGGAACAGACTAGAATATCCAGAAAAACTCAAATAGATAACAGAATGAAGTATATGATAATATTGGCATTTCAACCACTAAGGATAAAAAGTAACCCTCAACCAAATGCACATAGACAAGCAGGGAGCCATTTGGGGGCACGTGGATAAGCTGGACCTCTAATTCACGCCTTGGCAAAAATGTATTCCAGATGAAGCAAAGATTTAAAGATGAAAATATGTATATAGTAGATGGGATAACTTTAAAAAAATCCGTTAAAAAAGATTAATTCAACTATGTGAAAATGAAAAGGTTCTTCATGGTTGAAAACCTCTCAAAGAAAAAACCATAAACAAAAGAAAAACTGAAAACAAACAAAAGCTTGCATCTCAAATCATATATAAAATGCTAATTATCCTCATATACCAAGGGGTCTTTCAAATCAACAAAGACTAACCACCCAAACGGAAAAAACTGGCCAGTACATGGCAGACAGGATAATTCACAGGAAGAAAATACAAATGTCCTTCAACTCATGAAAAATCAAAGCCCCTCACAAGAAAAATGCATATTAAAATTATACTGGGATGCTATTTTTCACCTATCCGATTAGCAAATATCAAAGGATTTGGTAACATACTGTGTGGTAAGGGTGCAGGCATTCTCGTTCACTGCTGGCAAGAATATACAATGCACCCCTATGCCAGCCCATCATTCTTTTTTTTTGAGACAGAGTCTCACTTTGTTGCCCAGGCTAGAGTGAGTGCCGTCAGCCTGGCTCACAGCAACCTCAATCTCCGGGGCTCAGCGATCCTACTGCCTCAGCCTCCCGAGTAGCTGGCACTACAGGCATGCACCACCATGCCCGGCTAATTTTTTGTATATATATTTTTAGTTGGTCAATTAATTTATTTCTATTTTTGGTAGAGATGGGGTCTCGCTCAGGCTGGTTTCGAACTCCTGACCTCGAGCAATCCGCCTGCCTCGGCCTCCCAGAGTGCTAGGATTACAGGCGTGAGCCACCACGCCCAGCGGAAATTTTCTTATATACACATGACTGTGTGTCTAAAACAATTATCTGGGATGTTCACTGCAGCACTGCTGGTGGTGGCAGGACTGGCAACAACCTAATTGTTGATCAGAAGGTTAGCTTATGACATATCCGAACAGCCGGGTATTATGCAGCCGTGGGGTAACAGATGCCAATATATTCCATTATGTATGGATGTGGAATAATCTCCAAGATGGAGGTGTATTATTTTTTGTGTAAAAAGGAAAAAGTAACTTCAAACTATATTTGCATATACAAGTATAAAATACCATAGAAGTATATACTAGAAACTGGTAAGCGGGCTGCTAAGACAGCTAGGTGGGAAAGATTTAAGTTTTACTATTTACACCTTTCTGTGCTATTTTTGTACCAGTGCATTTCTATTATTTATTTATTTATTTGTTTATTGAGAGAGAGAGAGGAGAGAGAGAGAGAGAGAGACAGAGAGAGAGACAGAGAGAGAGAGACAGAGACAGAGACAGAGACAGACAGACACTCTGTTGCCCGGGCTAGAGTGCTGTGGCGTCAGCCTAGCTCACAGCAACCTCAAACTCCTGGGCCCAAGCAATCCTTCTGCCTCAGCCTCCCGAGTAGCTGGGACTACAGGAATGTGCCACCATGCCCAGCTAATTTTTCCTATATGTTTTTAGTTGGCCAATTAATTTCTTTCTATTTTTAGTAGAGATGGGATCTCTCTCTTGCTCAGGCTGGTTTCGAACTCCTGACATTGAGTGATCCTCCTGCCTCGCCTCCCAGAGTGCTAGGATTACAGGCCCGAGACACCACACCCAGTCTGATTTCTATTTAAAAAATATATATATATTAGCTTTTTTAAAAGGTGAATTTGGTTACATTATAAAATTGTCATTGACTCACTTGTCACTGAGTTTAATTATTAATATAGAATAGGCTACATTGTTTTGCTACCTCATATTCTGTTTGTTGGTTGTTTAGAGATAGGGTCTCCCTATGTGGCCCACGTTGGTTTCAAACTCCTGGCCTCAAGAGATCCTCCTACCTCAGCCTCCCAAGTAGCTGGGATTATAGGTATGAGCCACTAAACCCTGATGCCTCACATTCCTACCCTGAAATTCATTTAGGGTATAAGCTCTCATTTCAAAATTAGGCCAAAACAAAATATTTCATGCAATCTAAAGAGTCAATTTGTATTTAACTATGTTCATCATCATTCCTAGCTGGGCAATTTTACTAGAGTGGTACATATGCACTGATGTAAATGATTAACACTAAGTAGTCAATAGTACTCGCCACCATATATTGCTATGCAGCAATTTATTATGTGTAATTTTACTCCTAAAATGTATAAAAGCTAGGGAACAAATTTACTATAGATTACTTTTAAAAGAATTTGCCCCATAATAATATGAAACAGAAGGAGATGCCTGTGTTTCACTATCATGAATTATAAATACTAGCATAAACTTTTATTTTATTGCCCCTCAGTTGTGAATATAACCTTCAAGAACTATTAGTTGCAATGAGAACCAATTATTCAAATTGGTTAAATAGCTAAATCTGGACATATTTTGTGCAAAAATTCTCCAAATACCCTTTTATCTAGTAGTTACAGAACCCAAAGAAGCAAGACAACGAAGCCAGTCATATGACAATGCTCACCATACCACTTATTCCCTTTTGGTTTTACAATTTGTATTACTGTATCACTAAAGCATTTAAAAATGTTTGATGTCCAAGTGCACATGTATGCTTTAGAGCAAAACAGTTCCTCTGAGGAATACATCTTCTAATTTGATAAGGAGAGTCAATACAAAGAAATTTTTTCTCTAGAGAAACGTTTAAGGATCGCTCTCCAAGTATTAAGAACACGTGTACTTCTGCCACTCCAGACTGTTAACATCAATAGGGTTAATTTAACATGCTAAGAATTTCTCTAGCCTCAGTAGCATCAAAGCTCTACAGACAGCAAGCAAATCCTCTTCAGCCTCAACGTTAATGATCCTGTGAGGGTGGATACCACATTTACTGCCATTTTGTACAGGCGCTGAGGCTCAGAAAGGTTCACTCACTTTCTCAAGGTCACTGGGCTATTCGGAAGAAAAGCCAGGCCTCAAACTCAGGCAAGAGTGACTCCAGACAACTACAAACTACCAGTTCCCCTGCTGGCCTAATACAGGATGTGTTTCTATAGTAACATTACATGGAAGATATTATTCAACTTATACCCTCACCCCATTTTTTAAGAGTTTGAGGATTCCAAATAAAAGCAAACTGCAATCTCAAAAGTGTTAGGGTATAAATGGAATGGCTGTGTTTCTTTGCCCAGGACATTCTAAGTTTACACCTGTTGTCCCAGCATAATTATCACTGTCCCCCCCCTCACCAAAATGCCTTCATTTAGACAATAAATTATTTAGCCATCTTAACTACAAAAGGGAGATATAAACCCTAAGTCCACAGTTACCTACCTGCAGCCCGTCTCCACTAACCGAAGATGAGCTGTGCCATCTGTGCCATGGCTACCTGACAGACTTCTATTACCCCTCTGGTCCCAACAAAAGCCCAGGATGGCTGTGCTCTAATAAAACCATCAAGATGTCTGATTGCTAAAGTGCATTACACTGACCATCAGGTGGAAGTACATAGGGTGAATGAAGGAGGCATACGTTCTAGCTCTGTGTACAAGCTCAAAGCGACAAACACACATTTGTTTTATTTTCTTCAAAGCTTTCAAAATGTAAACTCCAGGGTTTTCTCCAGTGCTAACACCACTCAATATAGCTATTTTCTTCCTTCACTAGAGGGTCACACTTTCCTTCTACATTAACTTCAAAACATAAAGCAGAGGGAATTCATTCCAAACCCACAGGACAGGTTCATGTCATCTAGGTCTACTCCAATTCTCCCAAGTTCCAGAAAAAAAAGCCTCCATTTAACAAGGCAGACTAGATCATGCCACACCCACCTTCACGCTGGTCTGATTCTTAGTAGGTTTTAAGATGCAAAGGCAGGAAGAGTAAGCGGACACCCCAGTTTCTGTATGCTTCCCACCCTCCAGGGATAAAGCTAGTCTGACAGAATGGTTTCTAGTGAAAGCAGGACTGGGTATCATGGTGATGGGGCAGCTAAGCTGTCAAAGGGGATGTTTTTGTTATTTTAAGTACTCATTTCTTTCTACCTTGTTTCCAGTCAATCCCCCTGGCAATCCATTTCATATTGCTGCTACATTAATTAACCCGTGAATATCCTTTTTTGGTGGGGAACTTAACCTTCAACAATCACCTACTGTCTAGCAAATCAAATCAACACTCCCTAATCTAGTAATCACTCCCACATCCATCCACCAGATAATCTAACTATACAAACTAAAGACAGCACTCAAACTGGATCTTGGACTCCAACCAAACTGGTGTTTTATGGCCCAAGTTCTCACAAGATTGAATCAGCTCTTTTCTGCCCTATGCCCTTCTCATTCCTTCCCCTAGAAAAGATTTACTTTTGCTCTTAATGTAGAACACATTACAAAGGAAGAAAAAGCACTAATGATTCACTAATATAGAATTAAAGTTTAGAAAATAGAAAACCCCTATCCTGTATAAATGCTCTCACAATGTTAAGAATATATTTAAAACAATTCTAAAGTAGAAAAATAAGTTATTTGAAAAACTGCCATAAATGTCTTAGAAAAGACAGCATATTAATATTCAGTTATACACAGATGCTCCTTGACTTATGATGAGGTTACATCCCAATAAACCCACTGCCAACTGAAAATATCATGAGTTGAAAATGGACTTAATATCCCAATAAACCCACTGTAAAGAAATCATAAGTCAAACCAATGTAAGTCAGGGACGATCTGTATATAGCACCAAGGGTTTTCTTGGCATAGCTGTTATGTGTAAAAATCAGTGCTTGAGCCAGGACTGTTAGAAATGCTGTACAAGATTCTGAGATACCAGAGGTCACTTACTTGCCCAGCTGTGTCTACAAGCTGAAGATGATATTCTTGTCCATTTACTGTGATCAACTTTGTGAAAGCTACAGAGAAAAAGGGAATTAAATATTAGTTAAAAAAAATTAACTCTAGACCACCTAAAGTTGGAACAGTAATAACCAATCAAGCACAGAGTCCTAAGAGTCTCAAAAAAGGTCCCATGAAACAAAAAGGAACAAACCTCTGAATTGTATGGATTCTCCCGTAACTCCATTATTAAACTGAGAAACACTAGCTGAGTGATTATATAAAATCAATCACAGGTAAGCCTTAAATCTTTTCTAAAGAAACTGAAACTAGGTAACAATTCACAGCCTATAAAAATAATCTGAATGCTCTGTGGCAAGTCCTTCTTCTTATGAAAAAGTCAAATATACTACATAAAGAATGAGGTCTAGGCCGGGCGCAGTGGCTCACGCCTGTAATCCTAGCTCTCTGGGAGACCTAGGCAGGCGGATCGTTTGAGTTCAGGACTTCAAAACCAACCTGAGCAAGAGCGAGACCCTGTCTCTACTATAAATAGAAAGAAATTAATTGGCCAACTAATATATATAGAAAAAATTAGCCGGGCATGGTGGCGCATGCCTGTAGTGCCAGCTACTCGGGAGGCTGAGGCAGGAGGATCGCTGAGCCCCGGAGATTGAGGTTGCTGTGAGCCAGGCTGACGGCACTCACTCTAGCCTGGGCAAGAAAGTGAGACTCTGTCTCAAAAAAAAAAAAAATGAGGTCTAGAATGAACCCCAAACACAAAACCATTCCGTTAATTTACAGGAAGTCTTTTGTCAGAGGCCAAAGAGCTAATATTAAGAAGGGCTAAGAACTTTTAGCCCATAAAAAAATTAACAATTTGACTGACAGATAAAACAGCAAGGAAACAGATGCTGTATTGAAGCCATCATTCCCACTTAGCTTAAGGACCCAAGCAATTTGTCACAGCTTCTTTTTCCTACCAAAGGAGGAAGGAGAAAAAAAAAAAAAATCACACACAAATAACTTCCGGAAAAGTTAATTCAGAATTCTAGAGAGACAGACTTCAAGCAAATATAGACAAAAAAGGAAAGAATTACTAACAGTGATAGAATATAAAATAGCCATCTGGAATCCCAACAAGGCAGTGGAACAAGTGTCTTCTGCATTTCCAGCTGAAGACACCTTGTCCTGAGGAGTCCTCCAATCTCTGGCTGGCCACCCTGTGTTTGGAATCAAGCGGCAGAATCTCCCCATTGCACAGCTGAGAGAGGACCCACTATGTCCACAGCCAAAAGGTAAAGCAAACAGATAAATGGAAATTATGTGAGAAAACTCTGAGTGACAGGGAGGATAGACAGATCTTATCTGAATTATGGGTTCCATGGGGACAGAAAACATGGCTGAAGAGCAGTAATCAAAGAGAATCACACCAGCATCATATTTTTCTAATGCAAGCAGGGATGCCAGAAGTCAGGTAAGGATAGATTACAGAACAGTCTGTGTATGTCAACTGCCACCCTTTATGGTACTCTTGTACCCTTTCTAGAAAGGATCACTTTAAGGAAATAGTTAAACCAGATGAAAACGGAATCAGGATATTTCAAGGCGGGGAATACCCAATATAACCTGTTTCAATACTTCTAAGAAAAAAGTCTAAGGTATTTTTTCACACTATAACCTTTCTGAGCTTGGGATGAATCTTCCATTGAGGGAGCTTTCAGTCACTATCAGCCAGAGGGCAGTCATGATATAGCTGTGTGAAAACTTTCAGTCAGGTAAAATCAAAAAGTGCATTTAAGATATGATGAAAAAAGAAACACTGGTGAGCAATAAAACGAGTGACCTTCAATCAGAACGAAGTAACTATGGTTATGAAGTATCACGTAATTATGACAAGATTATTGAAACAAACATCATGCATGCATTCATTTAAGAACTATTTGCTGAGTGCCTATCATCACCAGTGGAAGCAATGCTGTAGCTGCTGGGGATGGTATAGTCCCTGGCACTCAGTGAGCCTGGATCCCAGTGAGGGAAGGCAGACACACATACATGCGCCCACCCACCCAGTCAGGCATTTCTCTGGGTGAAGGGCATCCAGGCAGAGGTTAAACAGCAAGCAAATAAGCAAGAGTGTCAAAGCAGCTGAAGCTGAGAAAGAGCAGGTTGGAGAGGAGGCAGAAGGCCTTATAAAACTTTGGATTTTTATTATGAAACTGATGGGAAACCAAGGAAAGATCACTCTGGCTATGCTATGAATAGACAAAAATGGACACAGAGACATTAGGCCAGAGCCACAAGAAAGTGACCAATGTGGTGACTATCATGATCTATAGCAGATGATGCCAGCTGGATTAGAGGGGCAGATACTCTGGATGTGTTTTTTGGCAGAACTAAAAGGATTTTCTGATTGGAAGTGGGGTATAAGAGAATGAAGTGTCAGGAGCCAAAAGTTTCTGGCTTAAGCAACAAGATGAATAGAGTTGCTGTGTACAAATACAGGAAAGACCAGGGGAAGAACACTTGGAGTGGGAGAGGAAGGGAATCAGAGTTGGGTTTTTGGTATGTTAAGTTTGTGATGCCTGTTTAAATACCCAAGGGGAAATGAGGGCAGTTAAATAAAAAAGCCCAGAGCTCAGGGGAGAGGCTGGGAATACACATTGTGAGACAACAGCAAACTGAGGAGAGAGGCAGATCATTAGAGAGAGGGCAGAGAAAGGGCCTGAGCCTTGGACACCCTATAGTGCTAAGTCAAATATGTATTCAGCCAGAGACTGGGAAGTGCCGGCCAATGAGGTAAAAGGGCAGGAGACGCAATCGTACATAATATGCAAAAGAAGCAAAGTATTAATAAAAATTTGAGTACATCTTTACACATAAAAAGGATATAGGCTGGGCACGGTGGCTCACGTCTGTAATCTTAGCACTCTGGGAGGCTGAGGCGGGTGGATCGCTCAAGGTCAGGAGTTCAAAACCAGCCTCAGCAAGAGCCAGACCCTGTCTCTACTAAAAAATATAGAAAGAAATTAACTGGCCAACTAAAAATATATAGAAAAAATTAGCCGGGCATGGTGGCACACGCCTGTAGTCCCAGCTACTTGGGAGGCCGAGGCAGAAGGATTGCTTGAGCCCAGGAGTTTGAGGTTGCTGTGAGCTAGGCTGATGCCACGGCACTCTAGCCCGGGCAACAGAGCAAGACTGTCTCAAAAAAAAAAAAAAAAAAAAAGATATAAACCCTTCCACATGCAGCAATAAAATGAAAGACCTTCCATCCTGTCTTTGTGTTACTCTAGAAAAAAACCGAAGTATAATATAATGAGATGACAGACAAGCAAGGAATTCTATTCTGCCCTCTCACTCTGACCTCACACAGAAGTAGAAAGCTGGTTTTCTCCTTACAATGCCTTCCTTGAGCCCTCTCTCCCCATCGTTTTCAATCACTGCAGAAATGAATGCATTTCCAATCTAAAATCCTGAAATTCTCCTAAGTAGATTAATAGCTGTGTACTAGTAAGAGCTACTGATAAGCAAGGTAATAAAGGTTTCCAAAATTTGGTATTCACAAAGTAAGATTCATGTTACTAAAGTGTGGTGAGGCAATCCTTGATAATGCTACAAAATTAGAACTTCCCAATTTTCTGAAAGGAGCTTCATCATTCATCAACACTGCTACCTTGAGATAGAAGAAGCTGTGAATTGCTGCTATTCTTGTTTTTAAATTATAAACTACCACAAGTTTAGTTTCATCTTATTGGGTTAGTAAGTATGAAATGTCCAATTTCTTTAAGTACTAAGTTTGACGGTTGCGATCTCTGACATTTCACTTTACACTTATTTTATTTTTATTGTGAAGATACATTTTTAGTTTTTCAAACGCATGTTTTGGCTTGTTATTATCTTTCAAATTTTTTTTACAGCACTTTTTGTGAAACCATGGATAAGTAAAAAATTCGTGTTATTTTCGAATATGTGTTCCATCATAGAACCAATGCAGCACCGACAGCTCGAAATATCAACAAAGTGTTTAGGAAGGTTGTGACTTATAAATGCACAGTACATCGATGGTTTGAGAAGTTCCATTCTGGTGATTTTAATCTTGAAAATAAGCCAGGTGGGTGACCTGAGATCAAGGTGAATAATGATTAGCTGAAAGCTATAGTGAAAGTGGATCCATCTCAACCTAGACATAAATCAGCAGCAAGGTTTGACATTATTCCAACAATATAAGACCATTTGAAACAAATCAGCAAAGAAGCTGGACAGATGCGTTCCACATAAATTAAACAAGCCGACACAGAGAAATGGGCTTGAAGCTTGCCTTTTTTTGCTGTCATGATATAAAAAAGAACCATTTCTACACCGTATTGTTACTTGTAACGAAAAATAGATTCTTTTTGGCAATTGCCAAGTGTTCTGCACAATTGTTAGCTAAAGATGAAGTGCCGAAACATAGTCCAAAACCGAATATTCATCCAAAAATGCTAATGGTGTTTAATATATCAATTTACTTTGTATTGAGTTGTCAGATTAACACGACAGTAAATAATAAAGCACATTTGCTTAAACAATATTTCTGGTCTAACAATATGCCCAAGCTGGAAAATATGTGGTTTTATTGATGTTATTCTCCTATATCCTTACTGTTAAAGATGACACAGTCCCAAAATTTTTGCTTTCACAGTGACACTTCACAGAAATGTGCCACCACTGGATGTTTGCTATAAACAAACAGCATGTTCTAGCTTATAAAGGTTAAGTATAAAATAATTGTGGAATTTTTTCCAGATCTGCAAAGCACTACATTTTTTAAAATCAAAAACTGTCCACTTATGTTGTTAGCAACAAGTTCATGATAACCATTTCCTTTCTTTCTAATTCACTGAAATCACTGAACAATGTTTTTCTATTAATACCAAATAGTGGGGAAAGGGTGGGATAAAGGCTTTTGCCGTGTTAAACTATCAGAAGTATATAGAATATAATGTCTAACCATGCATCATGAACTTTAATGGATACATATTATCAGATATTCATTTCTGTTCTTGCCTATAGACTTTAATAAACAAATACTCTGAATTCATTTTTGAGATTAAAAAGTCTTTATTATTGAACATTAAGATAGGAAAAAGTTTTAAACATGATTAAAGATAATGCTGAAAGCCTTAAGTAGGGGTCATGTCATATTCTGTTTCTGAGATAATATCAAGTTATATAAGTTAGATTCTTTTCTGACCCATTACTTATGTATAAAGAAAAAGTATTGTTATGCAACACCATGACTTTCCTTCCAACCAATTTTTTTTTTTTTTTAAAGGACAGGGTCATGCTCTGTCACCCAGTTTTAGAGAGCAGCAGCAAAATCATAGCTCACTGCAGCCTTGAATTCCTGATCTCAAGCGATCCTCCCTCCTTAGTCTCCCGAGTAGGTTGTGGTTGGTTCTGGTCCGCCCTGCTTTTGTATGCACATGGCCTGAAATGCCAACAGGCTTTCTTTTTTTTTTTTTTTTTTTTTTTTTTGAGACAGAGCCTCGCTTTGTTGTCCAGGCTAGAGTGAGTGCCATGGCGTCAGCCTCACTCACAGCAACCTCAAACTCCTGGGCTGGAGCGATCCTTCTGCCTCAGCCTCCCAAGTAGCTGGGACTACAGGCATGCACCACCATGCCCGGCTAATTTTTTTTATATACATATCAGTTGGCCAATTAATTTCTTTCTATTTATAGTAGAGATGGGGTCTCGCTCTTGCTCAGGCTGGTTTTGAACTCCTGACCTTGAGCAATCCGCCCGCCTCGGCCTCCCAGAGAGCTAGGATTACAGGCGTGAGCCACCTCGCCCGGCCTGCCAACAGGCTTTCTGAGCCAAATTCTTTCTAATGCTGCAACTGCTCTCTCCAATGCCAGAACAGGCCATTTCTCTTTCAAGGCTTTAGGACTGAAAAGGCGGCTGTGGAGGGCTACAGACATGCCACCATTGCTGGCTAATTTTTAAAAAAATTTTTTGTAGAGACAGGGTCTCACTGTGTTGCCCAGGCCGGTCTTGAACTCCTAACCTCAAGCCATCCTCTCACCTCAGCCTCTCAAAGTGCTGGGATTACGGCATGAGCCTTGAGCCTGGCCCAATTCATTTTTAAATAGCATAAGGATATGCAATTATTTAAAAAAAAGAAAAAAAACTTTATCAGGGAGAATTTACCAAGAAAACTATCTTCTATTGTTCCTACAGAAAAAAATTGTCAAATGGATCTTATCACCTTAAGGACATAAAATCCCCAACTGCTATGTGTAGTAAGTATCAAAGGCCAAGATCATGGTTTTCTTCTTATTCCAGTGAAGAGATAGCCAAACTTATTCACCTAGCATTCATATTAATCTGTTCCTCACACTTGCTTACTATTCTATAAATGACTAGCTAAACACAACGTCGTTGTCAGGACTTCCCCATGCAGATGCCCACGGAGGTTACTTTTAAGCATGGGCTTTCCTAGAGTTGGTTTATCAACCAACAGGTTTCCTTCTCTGCCACTAGCACACTGGGACGCAAAGGAAAGACAAATATTTTAAGCCAGGGGTGGGCAAACTTTTCCTGTAAAGAGCCAGATGATAAATATTCTATGCTTTGTAGGCTATATGGTCTCTGCTATAACTATTCAACAACTGTGCCATTGTAGAGCAAAAGCAGCCATAGACAAGATGTAAAGGAATAAGCATGACTGTGTCTCAATAAAACTTTGTGGATGTTAAAATCTGAATTTCATATAATTTTCATGTCACAGATATTATTCTTCTTTGGACTTTTAAAAAATATTTAAAAACGTAAAAACCTTTCTTAGACTGTACAAAACAAGGCAGTGGACCTTTTTAGACTGCAGGCTATAGTTTGCCACCCCCCCTGTTATAAGCCAAAGGATTTAAAATGTTTCTCTTAGAAGCTTCAGGCAGGTAAAGTCTATGAACTTAGTTGTCACCAAGTTTATGAACCTAGCTGTTAAGTCTGCTTCATGTCTAAGTGTCTAATATGCCAATCGGATTTTGATAAATCCCATGTTTAAACTTGTATGTTACCAGTGACAAATCCTAGGTAAGTCTTAGTCTCAAGAATCTGAGAAGACTGGTTCCAGGACCAACTGGACTTCTAAGATAGCCCAAAACAAGACCAGCTTCAATGGATGAAACAGTTTCACATTCTCCTTAGTGATTCCTAAAATCAAGATTTGTCTCAAAGCTGGGCACCATGTCATGCGCCTGTAATCCCAGCTACTTGGGAGGCTAAAACAGGACAGCTTCAGCCTAGGAGCTCAAGTCTGTTAACATATGGAGACCCTGTTTCTTAAAAAACAAAAGGGCTAAAAAAAAAAAAAAAAAAGTTTTGTCTCATGGTCCTAGAATCCTTCAGGAAGATTCTGAAACCATGGATCGAAAGTGAACAAAGTAAAGGTTGTGGTTGGTTCTGGTCTGCCCTGCTTTTGTACACACATGGCCTGAAATGCCAACAGGCTTTCTGAGCCAAATTCTTTCTAATGCTGCAACTGCTCTCTCCAATGCCAGAACAGGCCATTTCTCTTTCAAGTCTTTAGGACTGAAAAGGCGGCTGTGGAGAAATTGGAGGTGGTGGTGATGGTGTATTACTGCTTTTATAAGAGCAAGAAACAAGACCAAGGGACCTGGAGTGTTTTCATTCTTGTAAGCCTGGAATTCCTAAAAAGGGCTACTACCACTAAGGAGGGGGTAAAAAAATCTACTCTCTATTCCTGTTTTGAAGCTGATTATGGAATATGGATGTTTCAATACTGGACTGGATTCCTACAGACTTGAATAACAATTTCTAGATGGCAGGGGATGTGGACACTAAATGAAAAATCTTTCAGTGTAAAGTGGGTAAAGCTTTTGGAAGTTTTCTTTGACCCCAAGTGGGAATTATATAGATTTTACCCTTGGCAATCAAAGCCTCCATGAATACACAATGGCTATTTGTACACAAAAGGAGGCTTCTCAGTTTTTAAGTACTTGAAACAATACTTACTGTTTTCTATGGTTGGATCGTAGGAGTCAACAAATTGGCCTTCAACAAACTGAATTGTCAATGACGATTTCCCTAAAAAAGAGAATAACATCTCAGTATGTATTTGCATATTAAGGCAAAAAATTTTAATTCTAGTGCTTTATTTTTTAAAAAAAACCATTCTAATAGATGAAGAAAGTAAAGTTGCTGGGCTCAGAAAACATTCCTTTTAATTAGCATACGAGCAATTTCAAAAAACAAATTTGATTGATTTGATGTGTAAGAGAAGACTAAGCAATCAATCTATTACAAATTAAACACTTCTGTGACATTAACAAATACTACTGACCAACAAGCACAAGATATTGTTAAAGGTAAACTTTTAAATAAGGCCCAAAGTAAGCTAATGTCTACCTGTCCTTTAAATCTAGCCATTTAATATGGAAATTAACAAAAATGATTAGTTTCTTCACACTCTTTCATAGATGACTGTTAGAAGTGTTACCAGGTATAGCTTTTAAAAAGAGTAATCTGAAAATATATAACGAAAGTTTCTCTTTTAAAAAACTGCTTGAAGATAGAAATCTTATCTCAATCATTCAGTTATCAAAGGCTTAGCAACATCTAGACAATTAAGAAATGTTTTGGATTTCACAAAATCAACAGTAATAACTGAGCTTGTATGTTAAAAAATCAAGAATTAGAGCCCTAACTTCTCATCCCTCTATCTGCTACCTAAAATTTCCACTAGAAGACTTTAGAACAGGGTACATGTCCTATGAAGAAACCGTGAGAGAACTATAAACTAAAAATATTATAAAATCCTAAATCCCCCATACCAACTGAACCAATGGACCCCAGGAAAACTTTAAAACTGAGTTTCCAGGCTGGGCGCAGTGGCTCACGCCTGTAATCCTAGCACTCTGGGAGGCCGAGGCGGGCAGATTGCTCAAGATCAGGAGTTCAAAACCAGCCTGAGCCAGATGCCGTCTCTACTATAAATAGAAAGAAATTAATTGGCCAACTAATAGATATAGAAAAAATTAGCCGGGCATGGTGGTGCATGCCTGTAGTCCCAGCTACTCGGGAGGCTAGGCAGGAGGATTGCTTGAGCCCAGGAGATTGAGGTTGCTGTGAGCTAGGCTGATGCCATGGCACTCACTCTAGCCTGGGCAACAAAGTGAGACTCTGTCTCAAAAAAAACAAAAACAAAAACAAAAAAACCCCCGAGTTTCCAGTCAAGCCAGGGAGGTTGCACATGCCTGGTTATACTCCCTCCCTTTTGGAGTTTAGATACAATTTACTAGCATCAGATAAGACTGACAAAACAGATTCTTTGTGGCAATAAGATATTAAATCATAAATAAGATATTAAATCATAAATAAGACCTAAGGCCATGCAAGGCAAAGGTTAAGTCATGCCTGCAGGCCACCAATTTTGTTTAACAGGTTACTTTGGGCAGGTATATGGTAGCTGGCTCTATGATTAGCAGACTTGTTAATCTTAACTTAAAACATTTGTTCTACTAACTCCAAGGTTTTAGACAAAGTTTTATTCCTTTAACCAATTACAAATTAAGAATCTATGAATCCACCAATAACCTGTAAGCCCCCACTTCAGGATATTCCACATTTCCAGGGTGCACCAATGTACACCTTCCATACACTGATTTATGATCTTACACGAAATTCCTGTAGCCCTGAAATGTATAAAACCAAACTGTAATCTGGGCTTCTGGGGTTTGTGTACCTCCAGGCCTCAGTCACTCACATTGTCTCAGAGAAAACCTCTTTAAATTATTTTACTGTTTGGGTTTTCTGTTAACAGAAGTGTTAAAGAAGTGGTCCCTCCCTAATTTCACTCCCAAACCCTTCCTTCTCTCTTATATCCTCAGAACATTAAATACACGCTCTATAAGCTGGCTGTGCTCTACTTAACTTTCATCACGAAAGGATATGCAGTGAGAGCAAAAGATAAAGTCATGATAACACCATCCTCCACTTTTGGGGTTTAACTTGTGCTTTCCCCTTCTCCAAACCATGGAGCGATGCACTTCGCAGGTGGCACAATGTTTTTCACACCAAAGCCATTTCCCATATGCCTAAAAATGCATTTATTAAAAAGCTGCCTTATTAGCTAGGCATAGTGGCATGCGCCAGTAGTCCCAGCTAGTCAGGAGGCTGAGGCCGAAGGACTGAGGCTGAGCCCAGGAGCCAGGCTGTAGTAAAACCTTAAATCATTCTCTAAAAAGCAGCCTACATGAGCTGTCATCACGCCACTGCACTCCAGCCTGAGCAACAGAAAGAGAAACCCTGTCTCTTTAAAGAAAAAAAAAAAAAGCAGCCTGTAATCCTAGCACTCTGGGAGGCCGAGGAGGTCAGGAGTTCGAAACCAGCTTAGAGCAAGAGCGGAACCCACCCCCCACCCCCATCTCTACTATAAATAGAAAGAAATTAATTGGCCAACTAATAGATATAGAAAAAAATTAGCTGGGCAAGATGGCGCATACCTGTAGTCCCAGCTACTGGGGAGGCTGAGGCAGTAGGACTGGCTTGAGCCCAAGAGTTTGAGGTTGCTGTGAGCTAGGCTGATGCCATGGCACTCACTCTAGCCTGGGCAACAAAGTGAGACTCTGTCTCAAAAAAAAAAAAAAAAGGCAAAAAAAGCTGGCTTAAAAGTAGGAGCTGCTGGGAGACAAGAAGAAAGTCTAGAAGTTGGCAGACCTATTTATTTCTCACCAGCAGCTTAATACATAGTTCAAAATATCTCTAGAATTACTAAAACCTTAAATCATTCTCTAAAAAGCAGCCTACATGAGCAACTGAAAATTAAATGTCACTCCTCTGCTTAAAAATCCTCATTACAATTAAAATTACCAACTCCGGACCACAGCCCACATAATACCAAGCCCTTCCGGCTCTGGCTACCTCTCCTACCTCATCTGCCAACGCCCACCCACCCCTCAGGCTCCAATCGTATCCCTTCTGCTCCTGCCAAGTCCAAGTCTGCCTTGGCCCCTTTATTCTAGCCATCACCGCCCCCCTATCTTTTTTTAAGCTCATTCTGTTCTGAGCTTAAACGGTCGGTCTACAGAGAACCCTTCTTCAAGACAACCCTCTGTATGGCAGCACCCACTCCCTAACAGTTTCTCTCATAGCCACCCTGTTTCATTTCTTCATTACTCTATCCAGACAGGCACAGGGCCCACATGCTGCAGACAGTCAGATTTCTGAACATATGAATGAAATTAAAGCTCAGACTCTCGGTAGGTCAACCCCATCCATTTAGATACTACAAAAGACCTCAAATTTTATACAAATGAAACAGTGCTCAAAATAAATGAATTGTAACCAGTATTTATTGGTAGCCAATCATGGGCCTATCTAGGATACAGGGATACAATAGTATTTCAGGAACTCCACAAATTTCAATTGGACTGTGTTCAAAAGAAAACATGCTATATATGTTAGCCCATAAAGAAGAATTTAACTCAAAATATACTAAAACTATTTTATGTAATGAAAATAGCAAGAGGGAAAACCTTTTATGTTAACAAAACTGAAAAATTAGAAGGCATAAGAAAATTCTTATTGAATGCTATTGCTTGAATCAAAATTAGTTTAATTAGAATGAAAGAAGAGAAAAAGAAACTTAAGAGTTTTTAAGGGTACTTTTAGGGACTTTTGGGGCTTTGATACCCTTAACTAATGTAGATAGATAAGGGATAGATAAGGGTTTGTGGGTTTTTTGTTTTGGGTTTTTATTTTTTTGCTTACAAATGAAAATAAAGGAAAGAAAGAAAGCAGAATTTTTCATTAAAGAAAAAAGAAGGGGATTAAACAAATTTTGGTAACTTTTTTGGAAGTAGAACTGACTGAAAATATCAAAAGAAAGGGGTTAGGCTGATGATATATGTGATAAGCTCCCCAAGAGCTGGGAAACTAGTAGGAAACACTGGATGACACAGTTCTCTATTGGGACCAGCCAAGTCTCAACACCCTGACTTGCAGGAGTGAAAGAAGAGGAGCCCCTAAGTGTTACCATCTGAAATTTCAAAAGTCAGATTCAAACTGAAAAGAAAGTTATACATATTAAATAAGACAGCATGAGATAAAGTACAAAAATGGAGTTACAGATAACAAGTGGACCAGATTTAAAAGATACAATTATTGTTACATACTCAAAGAGTTCCCTATTTATATCATAAAGGGCATAAATTATTTGACTGGCTAAATTAACATTTAACTGCAGAATATAACTAACTCATTCTGGCAAAAGCAGACAATGTAATCTAACCACTGCTGCTTTAGCAAGCAGTAAACTAGGATACCAGAATTTAAAAGCTTATTCCTCAAGGCATAAACTGTATTGCTCAATCAGATGGCCCCAGGGAGAAAGGTATAATTCATTAGCAGAGATGGGACTGAAGAAAAACTGGTTTCCCTTAGGTCTCTCCTCCCAGGGACTCTCCCCGTAAGGTGAGAACATTAATTATTTAAAGTAAGAGACAGATAGGAAGGCTACAGATGCTGACACAACACAGCTCTTTTCTACAATTTCCATTAAAAAGTAGAATTATTAGAAAACTAGTGTTGAAATCTTTACAAGTCAGCATTAAATGATAATTATTCCCCATAAATAAGTCCCATTGCTCATTTTCAAGTATTGTCAGCTCTGGTTATTATAATTTCTGGCTTTACAGAGCATCCTCTGATGCAGCAATTCAACTCTTTTGGTCAAGTTTTCTTGCAGCCACAAAAAGGCATTGTTGATCTGTAGCAAATTATGTTCTTTACTGTGATCACATTTTAAGTTTTCTCTCAATAACTTCATGCTTACTTTGGCTTTTCTCTTTAGCAAATTCAGGTTCTGAAATACTACTTATTTGCTGAAGATGTTTCAGCAATGATCATGCTCTCAAGCAGCTTATAAATATGCACAAACTGAGGAAAATCTCAAACTCCAGATCAACTCTTTGGAGAAATGTTATATAAAAACACAGGAGTGATCTGAAACAAACAGAAAAGCAGCACATGCCCAGGCGTGTGTTGATCCACATACAAACACAAATCACTCATTTTATGACATACAT